TTTGTGTAAGTTTCTGGGATGGGCGAAGCCATCAAGATGTTTGACTTCCTTGGCAAGTGACAAGTGACTAATATCTCAAGGTCTTCTTGTTCTCCCTTTTTGACACAAAGTGGTGATTGCGATATACCTCCTCCTGGATCTGACGACGCTTATGACGCGCACAACCGCGTCGCTCCTTTTGCACACCTCGCCCATTGTCACCACCCACCATTTCCCTTCCTTCTTCCGTACCCCACCAAAGTCGTCATACACCCAGACAGTCCGCGATCTTGTTTTCGCTGGCGGCGGTAGCGGCAGCGAGTCAGGTGGCCAACAGCAGCAGCAGCCGACACGCGGCCTGCTCAACCCGTGGGCGAGCCATCTATACCTCCTGACCAACTGCTGCCCAAATTTACGACGGCTGCATTTGGTCGGCTGCTCGCTTGCGTGGTGGTTCCGGCTTGCACGGCTGGACCAGCTGCAGGAGCTTGTACTGGAAGGGTGTGAGGTCGATGAGACGGGGTTGGAAATTTTGGCCGAAAGCTGTGGACGTGGGTGTGAGAGTGTTGCGTTTGTCGGCGGGCAAGTACGCGGCGGTAGTGGTGCGAGTAGCGGTGGCGGTGCCGAGGGCCTAACGGGTGGTGGTGGTGGCGGTGACTTGGCCACGGGTGGTGTTACGGGCTACCTGGTTGGCTCAGGAAGCGGCTTGCCATCTGCGACGCACGCGCAGCAGCAGCAGCAGCACCCACCACCCCCACCGCCATTGCTGTTCCAGCGGCTAAGGCGGGTCAGCATTGAGCGGCGCACCGGAATGGATCTCGTTGGGCTGAAGCTGCTGCTGGACCGCGCGCCGAATGTCGAGGCGGTCGAGTGTGCGGCGGATTGCAAGAGTTTGAACGCCGCGCTGGGCAAGCTGGGATTTGCAGCCTCTTGCGCATCAAGCGGGAAGGATAGCGGCGGTAGCGGTGGTGGCGTGAGGGTCACCGACGTGGAAGGTCTCAGGCGCGCGCTGTCTGTTTAATACCTGCCACCGGGCCTGTTTTCCCCGCACATACCCAGCTTTCCTACAATTTTTTTTGGCTCGCCCGATTCCCTTTGTTCTTCTGTTTTGTGTTTTTTGTAAGGAAGGAAATGAAAAATACCACGCAGGCTATATATTTGGCCAACGTGCATGTTCTTCCGATCGAAAATTTTTTGACGGCGCAAGCCACGTCGGAGTTTTTGCCATCTGTCAGAAAAACTCTCCTTTCTTTTCCTTCCTTTCCCGCCTTCTGTTCTAAATGAGGCTTGTAGGTGATCGTCGTGGCCTGGCCCATTCATTCTGTCCTGCCGTTAGCTCTCAGTGTCAGCTGCGACTTTTTGGGTCTGGGTGGATACATACCATCGTTCTCTGAGCTATCGATTTCGGGACAATGGGCGCAACTCGCGGCCCCAAATCAAAACCACCAACGGCTCCCAAACCCACCACAAGCAATGCCGGCGGCGGCGGCGGAGACATCACTCTATCATCCCCTCCGCTGACGGCGCATGCTGGCGCTAAAGCATCGGCGGCGGGCGCCGGGGCTCCCTCGTTGCCGTCGTTGCCGGGTCCGGCCACAGGACCACCACCGACAGCATCTGGCGGAGGGAATGCGAGCACGACGACGGCGACAGCACGGACCCCGCTGGCGCTCAAGATTGGCGTTGCGCACCGCACGGCGATGGGCGAGTACATTCCAGACAAGGACGGCCCGCTGAGTGCTCTAGGTATGCGGCGATCTAAAGCCAGGGAAAGATTTCTCATATCCCTTGACTGATCACACTAGTGCGTTTGCCACCGCAGCGCTGCCGACCCCATCCGCGCAATCCTACTCGCCGCACATCCCGCCGACAGGCCGATGCATCTCCATTCTTGGCAAGCACACAGCGCCCGCATCAACACCCGGTATGCTCGGACCCGGTCCGCAAAAATACAATGCGGGTGACCCGCGCGCGGCACGGATCGTGCTGCCCGAGTCGCCGGCGTGGAGCTTTGCCGGGACGGTACCCGCGACGCGAAGTCTCGTCGCTGCTGCTGCGGGCGGGGACGTTGATGATGCTGATATGGGTGGAACGCCTGGACCCGCGGTTTATGACCCACGACAAGGGCGCATTGGGTCCGAGGGACCGAGTTTTTCGATCTCGGGACGGTTTGAGACTGCTGGTGAGGATTATGGAAAAGTAAAGGGACGTGCCCGCCCCCAACATTTCGTTTTTTGCTGATGGTTCGTATTTCTGTGCAGCATCTGCGGAACCGGGGCCGGATCACTACTTTCCACCACCGTCCGCAACAGGCGTCTGCACAGCGCCATCGTACTCGTTTGGGACAAAGTCAAGCACAATCGGTAAAAGCTATCAACAAAACAAAAAGCTTCGCTGCCTTTCAGAATTACTCACATTTGTCGCGGCCGCCCTTTTACTTTTGTCCATTCATTCAGTGGACCCGACACCCGGCCCGCAATCCTATTCTACACCGCGGGTCCCGCCGCATGCCCCGACCGCACCGCTGCATACGTTTGGTCCGCGCATTGGATACCCTGTATTCACCGACATTGAGAACGGTAAATAGCTGTCACCCCTTGTGCATATCTTGGCAGACTCGAGGGTTTAATTTCGTTTCGCGCTTGCAGCATCACATCCGGCGCCATCCGCCTACTTTCCCAAACTCACTTGGAATGAAAAGGCTGCAACGCTGAAGGGATGGTACACCGAGTCGAAAGGTTTGAAAAGGATTAGCAGCATAAATACCTGCGATTAAGAGATTGAGACTCTATCTCCCGTTTCAAAAGCATTGAAGACCCCGGGTCCAGCCAACTACATCATGCCCGCGGCACTGTTCTCCGGCCCGCAGTTCTCTATCATCGGCAAGCACGATCCAGAAGAAACACTGGCAAACGAAAAGCTTGCGCGTCCCGGCCCAGCGTCATACTCGCCCGACGTTGCTGCGACTCGCGCCCGCGGGCCGGCATATACGCTAAAATCTCGCACAGGACCAAGTAAGCTTTGGAGTCTTAGGGTTGTGCCTCGCGCCGCTCTGACCTTTCATCACTGATGTCTCGCGCTCTGTATCCATCCCACTTTCACTTTTCATTAGCGCGCCCGCCAAAACACCATCCAGGTCCCGGCGCCTACACGCCGCGCGACCGGCAGCTGCGCGGAAACGATTCCTCCAAAGTGACCATCAAAGGGCGCTGGCGGAGTTGGCAAGGTGCGATGTTGAAAACCTCCCGAGACTAAAGCTCCGCCAATCACAATCCGAACTAACTATTGAAATCGTTCTTTCCATTTTTCTTGTAGAATGCACGCCAGGCCCGGCTGACTACACGCCCGCGCCAGCGATAACGCCCGCGCAGCTGGCGCGGCTTGATGCGCGGGAGAACGAGCGGCGGCACGCGCATGTGCATGGTAAGAAATCGATGCAAGGACGTTTGGTAAAAAGCTAGTTTATGGCTCTCTCTTTCTTACTCCTTTCCCTGTCGATGATTTTCAAGTTGCTCCACCTGTACACGCGCCAACGCCGGGCCCAGGGTCGTACTCTCCACGACTCTGCACTCCCTCGTCACCTGGCTTCACGCTCGGAAAGCGTTTGGATTCGTCCACCAAAGGTGATGCGTGACGAATAAGCGCAGGCGCGGACCACCCGAACAAAAAAATCTCATTATTCTTTTTCCCCATAGCCCCACTTACGAAAACACCATCACCGAACGCATACACCACCGTCCCGCCAGCGGCGCCCCCTGTCCCGTCGCGCGGGCCTAAAGCTGGCGCGACCTTAAAGTCGCGCATGAGCCCGTATGTGACGGTGTTTCCGACGACGAGGGTGGATACGCTGCGCGTGCTGGTTTAGAGAAGGCTGGAGAGAGCGGGGGGATAATAGAGCCTAGAGAGGGGCCTTCGGGTGTTGGGAAGGATTTTGGGAAACGGTTTTGTCGGAACGGTGACTGACATTGAGTCAGCTTTGTTTCGCAAGGGCTTTCATCAGTTTCCCTCCGCGGGCCCGCATATATATACGAAAGAGCCTAGCAAGAATGAATAGAAAATTACCATCACTTGTCACGAGAGTTGCAGAACGCTAAGGTGCTGACAACAACACAATAACGCTGATGTTGACTATCGATTTTTACTCGCAGTTAACTGTCCCTCGCGCTCGCCGTCTGCGAATGCGTCGCATCTACCAGCGCGTCAGTTTTGCTCCCGGTCGCAATCAAGCGCCGAGTGGGAGGGAAACAAAGCTCTTTTCTGACTCTGACATCCGCACGCGCCTGCCGCGATGCGCATCTTGGGGGAGGCCACTAACCTGGAGGTTGATCCCTTCAGAGAATCACAGGCCAGAGGATTTCCCTGCGCCGAGCGCTTTGCAAAACATACGGCGCTGCGGAGGGAACACTTTGCACCTCGCTGCACTCCTTAACGCGGAACTGCCAACTCGCAGCCGAAGGGACGAGGAATGCATGCCACAAGCGGAAACCCCTTTGTGAGAACCACTCAAGTCGCCGCGCCGGGGGCGGCACTATTGCCCACGTTGGTCCTAAAGCGACCACATTATCGTGCCTCTGACTGTATTTCGTCTCCTCTGCTTAAACCTGGCGTTGCATCCTGTCCCAATCTTAGAGAAGACAGCCGCTCTGCATGTCGTTTCCGTCGTTCCGGCGCTTTGACAGCGCAAGCGAGGGCGGCGCACAACGACACAGGCAGCGGCCGAAGGCCGCTGACTGTGCCAAGAACCAGATAACACGCAACGCCAAATGTTTCGGCAGATGTATTTGCACCAGCAGCTGCCTGCACCGGCGGCGCCAAGGTTATGTTTATGTTCGGCTGCTTGTCGCCGAACACTCCTCCGGACTCGACTGCATAGCGCATATCCAGCGTGAAAATGCAATAGCTTGACCGTCGCTCTAGCATTAGTGCATCAACCTCACGCATAGAGGTTCGGCAAAAGAGACCGCAGTTCCAGCTGCTCAGCACGCCCGCGGACGGCTGTGAAAAAAACAAAATAATCACAATGTCACCTGCGAGAATCGAACTCGCGTCCTCACCGCCACAAGGTGATGTTCTGCCACTATACCAAGGTGATGTTTCTTGTCACTGCGTCGTCCCGCCAGAAGCTGTGATGTCTGCCACTGCAAATAGGTAAGCTTGGTATATGCTCCAGTTATTCTTTGAGTTGCAGTACGGGCTCGGTTGTCCATTTTGTGCTCCTAGATTGAGGCTGTGCAGTCTCTCTCTATTCAAACTTTATACTCTGCCGGAGATATGGAGTTGCACTGCACATGCAACAACGAAACTTGGGTCGCTCTCGAGAACGCGATGCTACCGGACGCTTATTAGCGGCCAAGCAGGAGGCGGAGGGGGTTTCTGGGCACGAGGAGGACGTGGTCCTGGACGAGAGCATCTAATACGCTGAGGAGGACGTCGCCCAGTTTGGCGACTCTGAATACGGTCCCGAGGACAACGACCAGCGGATTGCGCGCAAGACCTGTCCTATGGGCTTTGAGCAGTCCATGGACAGGGAGCTTCAAAGGAAGCGCGCGCTACCCTACGATTCAGCATCAACCACAGGACGGGGCATGCTCCGACACGGGTTGGACGCCTCTTCACCTGTAGCGATTGGCATTTCTCGTACCGATCTGCCTGGCATGTTGACTGAGTTGAAGGCCGAAATCATTGCTACAGTGGGTCAACAGTTTGCACCCACCCTGCCTAGAGGCGCAGAGCCCAGAGGGGCTGTATTCGGAGGAGTACCGAGCGACCCACAGATCTCTCATTCGAAGAATCATTCATTGCCACCGTCTCTCGCTGCGTTGCGAGCTTTGTTTGCGCTAGTCTGAGGGGCGCACAAACGCGCGTCTGCATGAAAGTGCTTTTAGGTATCTGCACAAACTCGCTTCAAGATAACCCGAACCATGTTGCAAAGCAAACTCGCGTTGGCGAAAAGGTACTTTTTTTCGATGTTTTGCACAAACTCGCGACGTTGTGCATAAATGGACTTCGTCATTTTGACATGAACGCGACGCGATGTCCGTTGCACTGTCCGTTGTCCTTTTAACCGGATATGCTTAGACAGAATGTAATATTCTCTATGGCCCCCTCGTTGACCAGAACCGCTAGAACAAAAAGAGCGACACACAAACTGCACACTAAAGTTACTTGTCAATCTCAGCGCTAAAGCTTCCTCTCGCTCAACAGTGTTATGTCCCTCCTTCGGTACTGCTGCCGCCTTTTTGGTTTTGGCCGGTGTCCGAGGAAATTGGTACTGGCTAGTCTCATTATCCGGAACATCTTCTGACCCGACCGCACTGGCATTGTCCTGTTCGAGTGGCGAGCTGCCTTCGTTGAAAAGGTCGCGAAAATACGGGACGCGCTGACGGAAGCAGGCCCTGTTTGTTATGTGCACGGGCTTTCTTCCGCCTTGGCGGTCCTGTCCTTTTACTTAGGCGTCGCACCAGCAACTGGCACGCTCGTATTACGCATGTAGCGCGGTCGCTTGTCCACAACCTTTAAAGGAGTCCGCAGTAAATCAGGGCGGGCCCGGGCCCATGTGCGCGCTTTTTCAGTTTGTCGAGCTTGATTAACCGGTAAACGCGCTGGGAGATTCCTTTGATCGCAGCGTTGGTCTGAAGCATTAATTGCTGAAAAAAGTGTGTGATGTTAGTTATTATTAACCTGAGCAAGATACAAGAAGAAATGTGGCACTGACCTCAAATATCAAGAACATTTCCGCAAATGATGCGGCGATGTCAATCTTCTGATCTATCGCACCAAACTTGACTACGCCATACTCATCGAAGGTAAACAGCCCATCGGCAATAGCAACCATTGTGTAGAAGTGTGCATCCCGAGCGTTGAGAACAAAAAACGGAGCCGTGAGTTTCGCAATTGACTCAGATACAGCCAGTGGACAAAAGTCGGAAAGCCCCCCTCGCCACAATAGTGCTGCGCAGCAGCTGTTTGTCGAAATAGAGGGAAGAAAGCAGTCGGATTGTGGCGAGCGGCTGAAGGTCTTGCTCAAAGGGGGGCTTTCCGACTTTTTGACCACTGGCTGTACATCGGTGGGAATTGATTGGTTTTTTAAGGGCTCCAGCAGTCCAAGCTGAACGGATTTCACTTGAGAGACTGCGCACTGCACGACGGTGGTATGCTTTGAGTCTTAAAGATTTTTAAGTAAAATGAAGATTCGTTATTTCAACAACTGACCTTGATTGCTGAGAGCAAATCATGCTCAACCTTGTCGATTGTTGGCGACGCGCCGGCGTTTTCGCCCGTTCCGAGCACCGCCTGGTGTCCCGACTTTCTGTCGCCGAATTACACCTTGCGCGAGTTCACATCGTCTTTCGTTCCAATCGTCGTTGAGCTCTTGGGGTTATCCAGCCTATTCACCGCAGCGGAGGGATTCTTTGGGCTCAAGACCGCAACGGCCCTGTCTTTGACCTTGACAAGAATCTACCTTTGGAGGACTGTCTTCTGAGCGCGTTGCGAGAGGCGGATTGCATGCCTGACGTCGTATTTGATGGTGGCTCACCTCGGAATTAATGCCCGAGTGGCCGGTTTACGTGCCTGCAGAGCGGGAGCTAGGACCGCTCACGAATGCCTTAGAGCCATATCTTCTTCCGGCTAGAGTACTACTGCCCCCTGCCAGGCTGATGTGCATACGCAAGAGTCGCACATGCAAATCAGCCTGGCAGCGGGCAGGACTCCCGTCACTTGTCATACATTCCGAAAAAACTAGGGTCTGCTGGATATTTGCCCGCCACGGCCAACAGCAATTTCGATACCTGTACGGTTGCGAACTATCAAAACTCCTCTCACGGTTCTTATGCGTGTCGTTTCGACAGCAGGCTGTGAAGGAGCAAAGGTGCACGACAAAAGGCGCTCTGAGCTTGTGAACTCACCCCCCGGCCGAGCCTTGATTTTTGACGCGCTGCTGCTCCACTCTTCCGTGCACTGGCAACCATGCAGTGGGCAAGCGCTACCATGCAAGGGACACCGTATCTTAAAAGGCACCCCGTCCGTCTATCCAGTAATCAACGAGCAAGTTCTCTCTCACTCTCTCGCTCTCCGCCTCTCCTTTCAAATACAAAGTCGGCATGTCGACAAAGGCAAACCCAATACGGCTAGAGAAGGTCCGCGGTTTCCTCGCTTTGATCGGACCCGCTATCAACTGCATCGCTCGAAACGTAGAGCTGCCGATCCCGCATCAACCGTCAACGACACAGCCTCACATCACCCTGCTTGCGAAACACGAGGCCATCAAGCTCAAAAATCCAATTCCCTTTCCAGACAGCGACGGTATCACGCCGCCCATCGACCTCGGTCTAGGGCGCCATGAGAACGTTTACTTCCAAGTTGTGTGGTGGCCGCAAGGCAACCGGTTGCGGCACAAAATTGGCCTCTCGTGGAAAGATTTCCACATCACGTTGAGCGCGGCAAACTGTCACGATGTGGATAAGGACGTATCAACCATCACAAAGCGTGCTCCGCTCACAAAAGAACAGGTCGCAAAGATCATAAAAGATGTCAACGAACTCATGCTATCGCCTGTCGTCAACATGGAAAAGGCCGCAGAAGCTATCACCGCAGTTGTATCGTTCATCGCTGCGTTCCACACCGCGGCTTTGGACGACAAGTCGTTCGACCAACTACGAAGATTTCTTTCCAAACACAACCGGAGAGCGTGCAGCGCATTGATTGGAGCGTACCTTGATGCCAACCCTGAGAGCGCAGCAGCAAACGTGCGCATAGCGCACGAGCTGTCTACTCAAGACGGTATTCAGGCAAAGCGCGCCATGGCTTACTATGCAAAAGGTGCTCGTCTTGCTAAACAGACACACGCGGATGCGGTGTATCGCTATTGTGTTGAAGGCATTGTTCGATGTGCCAGGAAGACTGCGCTGTTTCCGCTATTTACGGAAGACGAGATCGCCCAGCGGGTTCATCAGACGCCGCCGATGGAATCTGTCGACCGGGCGGACATTCTAGCCGAATACGTCTCCCAAGCTCAGACATATGCGGGCTCACCTGACGCGCCTGATCTTGACCGCTTTGTCATGCTTGAGCCGCGGGAGCGCATGCATGTCTTCACGAACGCAACGGGCGAGCTTTACAAGCTCCCGCGGTTTTTTAGCTGGCTGCTGCCATTCAAATTAGCCGTCATGAGCACACCCAAAAAGGCACAAGATATTACTGCCCTGCGGGAACAGCTCCACATCTCCGTGGTCGTCACGCTGACAAAAGAAACGCCACTTCCAGCCGAGTGGTTTGCCCAACGTGCAAACGTCAGGAACGTCTTTCTCGCAGTCGAAAACTACCGAGCTCCAACATTAGAGCAAGTTGACTACTTTATCGACCTTGTCACGTCCTTGCCCGCGAACGAGGCGGCGCTCGTGCACTGCGGAGGCGGAAAGGGCCGCGCAGGGACGTTTGCTGCGTGTTATCTCTGCGCTTGCGGGTTTACTACTGCCCGGCAACCGTACCCCGTGTTTTCGGCCGCTGGAGCCATTGCAGTTGTGCGCACGCTGCGGCCGGGAAGCATCGAGACAGAAGCGCAAGAAGCGTTTGTGAAAAAGTACGTGCAGAGTTTGTACAAGACGATCGCCGAGCCAGAACGACCGCGTGTTGTTGAACCTGACGCGCCATTGGTGCTTACGGGCAGCTTACCGCGGCGCCCGCAACTTGTCGTCTGCTGCGGCTTACCGGGCAGCGGCAAAAGCTTCTTATCACAAGAACTCGCCGAAAAGACAGGTTATGTCCGCATCTCGCAGGACGACAGCGGCAGCAAGAGCGCATGCGAGGCCGAGCTTGCAGCCGCTTGGAAGGCAGGGAAGCGGATCGTTGTTGACCGGTGCAACCCGACTGTCGACGCGCGCGCAGAATGGCTGAACATGGCTTCCAAACCCCGGGACGCGCTATGCGTGTTTTTCAATCTCCCGCGGGACGTGTGCGTGCAGCGCGCGGATGCTCGGCCGTCGCATCCGACGATTGCGCAAGGCCGTGCACGGAATGTCGTGGCCTCGTTTGCGAAACAGCTTGTTCCGCCGACGGTGGCGGAGGGTTTCGCGTGTGTCGCCGAGGTTGGGT